ATGACAACGTCTTGAACTCTTCCTCTTCTAGGCAGAACTCAATCTTCTAATTCTCTACAGGTACTGAATTACAGTTCCTAAGAAATACATTTAACCTGGTCAAATTATCTATATTGCTACTGTCTAAAAAATCCTCTGATGGACCTGAATAAGTCTAAATGAACAAAACATTTATCTTAGATCCAATGGGACCACAATATTTGAAAGACATAGTACATCTGCACAGTGTGTTATGTCCAAGTGTATTAACCTCATTTTTTTCAGTACTTATTTGCTATTGACTGGGCTTATGCATAAATACTATGGAAGATACAAACATGGGAACCACATGGGAACCACTGTGTGGCCTTGCGGGGCTTTCTATTCAACAGGAAGATACAACAAAAGGGAATGTTGTGTCTTGTCCGAGAGGCATGAGCAAGTACTATATCAACTGTAGCTTGGGTCCCCAGAGGAGATTTCACTCAGAGAGTATCTCACAGGTTGGACGTTTTATTGAATGTTACTCTTCCAGGCAGACAAGGGCATTGGTGAATGTTTATAGATATTTTCCCTCCTTTGTGGAGCTTACGTTCTAGCGAGTGAAGGCAAATGACATTCAATAGACACAATAAATAAGCATACTGTGTCATGTGTTGGAACATTAGTGCTAAGAAAAAAAGGAAAAAATTGAGGGGCATAGTTGGCAATCTGAGTGTCCCATGCTAGGAATGAGAGATAATCAGGGTGAGTGAGATAGGTCTTACTGAGATAGTGACATTTGAAGGAAGATTTGATGAATTTTAATAAGCATGGCTTGTGGGGAGTGTTCAGAAGAAAGTAGCATGAAAATTGTGAGTCATGTGTGTGTTTACCCTCTAAGCCCAGTACCAAACTGACATCGAACAAGCACAAAAATAGTTAATGGCTGAATGTATAAGAAAACTGATATCATGGTGGAATTACAGAACCCAAGTGTCCAGTGGCAAATAGTCCCAGTTAGCTGGAAGGCACCTGGTCTGTTGTAGAATCGTGATAGAAAAAGCTAAAAAGTTAGATTAAAATCATATTCTAAATTCAAAGATAAAGGATTTATAGTAAATTCAGTATAGAATTGAAAGCTGCTTAAGGTTTCATTTAGCATCAGGAAGGAGCGGAAAGGAGAAAGCAAGAGCTATTGGCAGGATAAGAGCTGAGCTTTGAAGTGGCGGCTGAGTTTGATTAGGCGTGGAAGGCACTGGAGATGTGGGGAAGGTGAAGAGTAATAAATTCCCAAATATCCCACTCAAGAGATAGCGAAGACTTAATGTAGGATTATGATGTGGGAACTTGAAAATCAGGTCATATCTGAGAGAAACTTATACGTTAATCCACTGAGTCTTTTTATTTAGGAAGGAAGGCAGGAAAGTAAAAAGCAAAAATTCTGGGACAGGTTACATGCTAAACTAAGGGTGTAGATAAGGAAGGAGGAGGCCAGGCAAGTTTTGTTTCTATTCTCCAAGCTCTCACAATGCAATCGTGGAGATATACAGTTATAAATCCTGATGTTGAGATTATACACCAAGAGTGGTAAGTGGTAGCAGACATTTGGTGATATGCAGAATTATTATCTGAATTAGACAAGAGAAGCCTTGGAAATAAGTATGGATTAATACATTTTAGAGAGTAGCAATAGTGTCCACGAGTGAGAAGAAAATGTGCAAGGGCCTAAGGAAAGAATCAAGAGATTAGAAGAAGGCAAAAAAAAATAATAATAATAATAGAGAAGATGAATTGGAGAATGTTGCCTAAGGGGTTCTTGAAATGGAACTAATAGCAGTACCATACATCAACCAGTGGAGTTGACTGCTCTTAACTTTGACATATTCCAATAGCTAGTAGTTCTCACATATTGAGCTCTGTTCACTTTTCTGAATTCTAAATTCTCGCACTCCAAACTTGTATATATACCACCTTGGCAATTTATTGCCAAATGAAACCTGGACTTCTTGACTAATCCCCCAAGCTTTCTCTTTCCCTTTTTAATGATCTGGAGAAAGACAGCAACTTTTCATCCCAGCAGTTCACACAGTAATAAAACAAAACAAACCATAACTCAGTCATCTTTGACTTCCTCCTCATAGCTGGCAGGTCCACTTCCAATCAGTCACACACTCCTGACACTCATCTCTACAATGTCTCTTATAAACAGCCCCTGCACTCAATTCTCGGGACAGCCGCCTGTCAATCTTCCACTCTGTCTGCCGTAACTAAGTCCTAATTGTTCTCCCTCCTTTATTCTGTGCTGCTCTTCCATCAATTCTCTCCACTGCTGCCCGTGTTGTACTACACCAAGAATGATCCACCACAGTTCATGTAATTAAAGCTCAATGAAAAACAAAAATAGAACAAAAAGCAAATACTTCAAGCGATCCTTATCTACTGTACATAGAACCCAGCATAACCATAAACCCTGTCACAATCTAAACCAGCCTTCTCTCCGTCCGTTAGCCACAGTCCTTTCCCCAGCCAGCATCCTGTAGAACACCCTGTATCCAAGTAAACTCTGTTCCTGCCTCCCTCCCTGCTTTGGCTCTGAGTATAGCTTTTTATTCATTTCTATTCAGTCTCACAAATTCATACTCATCCTTCAAGGCCCAGTTCAAATGACATTTGATCTCTGGATTTAAATAATTCGGCCTGAGATGTCAGGCAAGGTTGAGGTACAAGTTTCAGTCAACAGCCAATAGTAAAAATGCTAATGGTAGATGATAGTCGCAAAGGAAGATTCTAGAAAAAAGAAGTGAAGGGAGAGAAGTGAACCTCCTTGCAGATCTAAGGACAACATACTTCAAGATCCTCTATATTCTTTGAACTTTTCAACTGAATAAATTTAATTGTTAAAGGGTATAAAGAGCAACATAATTTCTGATCTTCAAGACTGGTCTTCTGAGAAACAAATTTTACATGGAATAAGAACAATATCCCTTTGCCCAGGAAGAAACTAATAACATTCTTAATTTTTATCCATGTTAAAAAGTAGATTTCATGATTAATTTAAGATGAATTGATTGTGTTCACAGCACTTTAAAATAGTATAAAGCTAAGAAACAAAATATTTTGTTTTAGTTTAAATTATTAGTTTCTTGATACTTGTAAAGTACTGAAGTGATTTATATAAAATCTTAATTGGTATTTTTGTCTTGCATTTGCTACAAGCCTGTCAGTTTTCTGAGTACTTATTGACAAAAAGATGAGAAATAGTCATTGCAAATATCCGTGATTTTCAAAATATTAAACTAAAATGTACAAAGCTAAACTATCTTGCTAAAGTCATATAGCTGATAATTTCATCACAGAGATAGGTATGTCTGATTCAAACGCTTATTTTTCACCTAGAGGCCTGATAAGGTGGTTGTTAAACTCAGTCACCCAATGCAAATAACAGAGGGAGACTGAATGTTTGAACTATGATGCAAATATACAATTATTATGCTTCTACTGAGCACATTGCTTAGAATAAAAAAGAAAAAGAATTGCAAAGCTGTGTACGTCGTCACTAAAATTGTGTCTCAATAATTTTACAAATGTGTTCCTGAAAATGATTTCCACCGGCTATAAAGGGTAAGAATAGGGAGGTGTGATGTGCTGAAGGGAATTCAGTCAAGTCTTACTTCGTGTCTTTCTCACTGCTTAACAAAACAAGGGTAGAGAGAAATCCCGATATGGGAAAAACAGTGGCTTGTTCCCCGGCTGGCATGGGCTGTGAATGCTCTTGGTACAGCATTCTAAGTACCTAGGAGAGAATGTCAATCCCCTTGGTTTAATTAGGACGAGTGTTGTTTGGCTGTGCCTGAAAGGCAGAGAGAGAGAAAAGGCGCATCATGGGATCTAAGAAGTCGGAGGAGCAGACGGAGCTGTGTACTCTAAGTGGGGCAGAAGGGACAGGAGAGTCCCTGTGTTAACAGTGAATCAAGGCACTTTCCTTAGGAAGAGAACCTTCTATAAGCAACTCTGCCATTCAGAAAGCCTTGGATACATTTGATATAGTAGGCTTCTTAACTTTCACCCTCACTTTCCTTGTTTTAATTTCTATGCATACAAGTGACAATTCTGTAGAACTCTTGTAAGAATTTAGTTATAATCGCAAAGATCAGAAGTGCTTATTGCCAGTACCTCTAAGTTCCTATTTGAAAATGTGGATTTCTAGTTTATTTTATCATCTGTAAAATAAATATTATGTAAAATGATGTTAAGAAATTAATTGTGCCCCTTGTCCCCAGAAATAGTTAAAACCAAATGTGTTAACAGAAGAAAGAAGCGAGTTAGAGTCCCCTGTGGAAGATCCTTATCTATGGAATGTCTGTGGGTAAAAATTTTAAAAGACTCAGAACATACGATTTTATGTAAAACCAAACTATTGATAGCTAAAATATAGACATCAGAGTAATCATTGAGAAAAATTTCTACAACTGAAAATTAAGTTTATATGTTAATAAATAAACTATACAACATTTATTTACTAAGGGTTTTAAAGCTTGTAATAAAATCATGTTATTCAATAACTTCCTATTTTAATTAAAATAAAATAGGTACAATAAAGTTCTCAAAATTTGATAACATGAGTATGATATCAAAATCCTTATCACCTTTGAAGGATCCTTATCCTTATTACGCTCCCATTTGCCATATGGTGACCATGGGGATATCCAGCTATGAGCAATGAGGTATGTAGTACTTTTTCTAGGATGAGTTCACAAACTTAATTGTCTGACTTCATATGTGTGAAGCCATTTTTGATACTAAGTTAGAAAAATAACCAAATATTTTATAGCCTGAAGCTTTAAGTTCAGATACTAGAAGTCACTATTCTATGCTGAAATTACATAACTAATCAAGAGTGTAAGAAATTGAGTTTTTTCTATTCTTAATTTTTTTCCCTTTTTAATAAGATTAAAAACTACAGAATTTTTGAAACCAATGATGATTCCTGTGTTGTTTCCAAATAGAATGAGTAATGTGTTAACCCTAATTATTTGGAATTCATATTCACTAAAAATTTCTTGTTCTTTCTGCAATACCGGGTCGATGCACAGAGTGGAAAGATCAAGCTCCTGTTCCAACTCCCTACTCCAAAAATCCATTTAACATATTGTCCTCGGATACAGGACCTATCAGATATTAAACTGATAAGAACAGATTCTACACTTGATCTTAGCCAAAAGACTGAGAAGCGATGTCCTTCCTAACAAAGAGTTTTTAATCTTCGATTTTTCAGTATATTTGCCATCTGATTGTAGGTTTGATTATCAAGTTTATCATGCTATTTTGTCTCCAATTTATATTATATATGATGTTAAATCATGACATAGTGGTCTGTCCATTCATTATAAAGGTACTGAGTTCTTTTCGTTTTCAGCCATGTATGTCCCAGGCCATTCTGTAGCTCTTATGTATATACAGAGGCTGCTTTGTTTTTAATGTTAAATATGGAAATCTCACTTAGACAGAGATGATTGTAATAGAGCTATACATTGGTTTATGAAACCATCTTGACCTTTACCAGACTTGTTTTCCTCAGTCTCCCAATAAAACTGATTGACCTGGCTCATTGGGGGAACTTTAATCACAGTTTTAAAGGTATACCCATATACATATATGGTAAGTCCATATGATATAGCAATCCATTGTATAAAGCAAAAATACTTCTGAAAGCATTAAATTATATGCTGATTGCAACTTTACAAACAACTTTCTTGCAATACAGAGGTTACCTGATTACTACAAAGCCATTTGACTTTTTGAATTATATTCTCATCCCTTACACTATGAACTGAACACATTATAATTTATAGTAAAATAAGAAGAGAAAAAGAGAGTCTATTTTCCTCCTCATTCTATAGTGTGCCTATTTTTAACACATATTGATTGTGACCACATTGCTTTAAGGATTTGTGATGACAGAGGTTTACATTCACATTTCAATTTTTTTTTTTTTGTTCTACGTGAAGCTATCCATGCAAGATATATTTCTTAATCATAATCAGCTTATGATGGACACACATATTATTAGGACTTGGAATATAACTAGAAACATCATACCCAATAATTTAAATGAAGACTAAATGAGAACCAGTATAGTATGAAGCAGGAACTTTCATTACTTCATGCGCTGCCTAAGCGTCTGTCCCACTTGCAAAATTAGTCATGATACACTCAAGATATTTTACTTTCTAGTCTATTCATTATAACTACAAAATTAAATAACACTTTACAGAAACTATTTTAATGATTGCTACTCATTATTAGAGAATAGCAGAGGAAGAAAGAGCCTTTATTTAAAAGAATAGTCTCTTTAAAAGGTGTAATATTTATCATGAGTTCTCTATCCTCCTAGTCTCTGGGGAAGGCAGATGGATGTGCCCGCTCCTATGTGCGGGAGAATGGAACAGACCTGACCGAGCCTCTGATAAATCTCCTCTACAGTCCCATTAGTTTTGATGAAGTTCTTTGAGAAACTGGGAAGAGAAAAATGCCCGTGAAAAATGTCCCTATTCTGGAGTGTAGTGTTATCAAGGCCTTGATTTATTTAACAGAAAGGAGTATGTCCCAGAGGAAAAAAAATTAACTTTTTTTCCATTGTCATATACAGTTGCTTAGTGCAAACATACAGTTAAAAACCATATTATAGACTGAAAAACATTAGATTCCTTTAAAATATTTGCACAAAGTATTGGCTTCTGATATTTTTAAAAATGTTACTATGTAATTTATTATAAGCATTTTATTACGTAGAACTATAGTAGAACTATAGACCCTACTCTGAGCGGGAGACCTATACCAGCCTGTGGCCTGTTAGGGATCGGCCACATAGCAGAAGGTGAGCTACAGGATAGCCAGAGAAGCTTCATCCGTCTTGACCCCACCCCTGGCATCATCATAAGCTCTGCCTCCTGCAGATCAGATTAGGTTCTCAGAGTAGCATGAACCCTACTGGACACCGTGCATGAGACGCATCCAGGTTGCACACTCCTTATCATAATCTAGTTCCCCGCCTCACTTCCAGGTCCCTGGAAAAATTGTCCCTGGTGCCAAAAAGTTTAGAGACCACAATATACAACATTATTTTAAAATAATGTATACTCAAAAATATAAAGTAATAGAATGTAGGTTTCTATGGTGTCCAAGTTGAGATCTGCTTTCTCTTACTTAGTAAAATACGTGACTTTGGAGATGTTTCTTGAATTGTGTTTCCATTTCCTTAGCACAAAGTGGGTGAAAAAATAGTATCAAATTTATGGGACTAGAAAATGATTTGATATTTTATGTACAGCTTTTTTATTCCTGACAGATAAATAAATGCCTTAGCTGTTACTTCTATTAGTGTTGTTTAACCAATCTTCAAATCAGTTTCTCTAACTGCAAATGTCAACATCTAAGGGAAAAAAAAAAGGAGCTATTTTAAAGCGGTACACCTAGAACAGATATTCATTTTTAAATCATTCATTGGATCTGTTTTGCTTTCTCTCTGCTATTCTGCAGACATAAAAGGAAGTCCCCTTTGGAAAGAGGATCACCCCAAAAAGAGAACATACACTGTGTAAAATGTCCTGTTTAAAATCCCCATCAGGAGATTAGAGGAAATATTTTGAAATAAGGCAGGATGAGTGTGGTCACTCACACCTGTCATTGTAGCACTGTGGGAGCCAAGGTGGAAAGATCTCTTCAGGCGGGAATGTGAGGCCAGCCAGAGCCATATAGGGAGATCCTGCCTCTGCAAAAAAATGTAGAAATTTCGCCTGGACAGTGGTATGCATGTAGGAGAATTAGTTGAGCCCCAAAATTTGAGATTGCAGTGAGTTCTGCTGATACCACCACACTGTAGACTGGGCAACAGAGTGAGACCGAATTGGGGGAGAGAGGGAACATTTAAGCAGGCAGAGTTACAGACATCTCTGCTTATCAGAATCCCTCTGCTGCCCCCACCATTGAAGTAGAAGATTTGCCACCTAAAAATTAAGATCTCTTTGAAAAAAAGTGGCAGAAGAGCAGTAGGGCTGGGAAGTCTTTGTGAAATCAAAGGACTTTGTTTTATTATTTGAGTTTGCCTTAAGTCATTAGCTTTTCATTTTGAAGATTTGGATAAGTGTGCTTGGCTAGCAGTTTACTACTCAAAGATATCCAGACAGGATTTTCTAACTTTTCTACGCAACCCTTTCTGTGCTATTTATCACTTTGTCTGTAGAACTCTGTCCTTCACCACAGACACAAACATCCTTAAAAGTTTTTTAGTTGTTGTTGAGACAGAGTCTTACTATGTTGCTCTCAGTAGAGTACCATGGTGTCACAGCTCACAACAACCTCAAACTCTTGGGCTCAAGTAATTCTCTTCCCTCAGCCTCCCAAGTAAGTGGGACTACAGGCACCCTCCACAATGCCCAGCTATTTTTTTCATTGCAGTTGTTTAGCTGGCCCGGGACCGGGTTCAAACTTGCCACCCTCGGTGTATGTGGCTGGTGCCATAACTACTGTGCTACGGGAGCTGAGCCAACACCCTTAAAACTTTTAAAAATAAAAGTACACCTTTTAAGCCTCTCAACATTCCACCTGTTCTCCCTGATATTGGTATCCCATATGCAATGGATTCCCCCCACCCCGTTCCTTGACACCAAACCTGTCTTCAGGCTCTTGTGCCAACTGCAGTGCAAGCATATTAAAGTCAACCATGAAAACATCTATGTACATTCTAAATATCTTCTACAGGTAATTTGTACATTTCTAGTTCCCTAAATCAGGAATACATTTGGCTAGATATTAGGCGATGATTTCATTCTCTCAGTGAAAGGATACAATGAATAAGGTGTTTCAGTGTTTTCCAGACACTATAATGCTGCTTATTTCATAGCTATTCAGTCCCATCCTACAGCAGAATGGCCTTATACAGGGATTAGACAATAAATCAAAACAGCTGGAGTAGGCATTATGAAATAAAAGTATTCAAATTTGATTTTACAGGGGGAAATAGAATAATACCTTAAGTCCAAGCCCAAAGAGAATGGAGTCTATTTGAAACAGGGAGGATTCATTATGAAAGAATGTAGGAAGTACAAAACCAGAATAGAACTGGAGTGGGCGCCTTTGGTCATCTAGGTCATTGGTCATGAATCCTGGCTCAAATTGTCATAATCACTCAGAGAACTTATTAAAAGTACTGGTTCCCTAGAGATTTTGTTGATGAGAGCTGAATATAAGGATTTTTAGCCATACCCCTTGTGATTTTATGTAGTTCCCTCCACACTGGTCCTCTATCATTTGAAACCCAATAACCTAGAAGAAGAAAGATCACTGAAGGAATAAATTTAACAACAGAGCTTTTTCAGCTTTATAAAGCTTCATAAGTTGGAATAAGGTCATTTTTTATAGAAAAGCATTTTGGGGGCTCACTTATGGGGATATAATTTTCATTTGCTTTCTATTATGTAGTGACTATTACTAAATGGAGATTATATTTGATTACTACATATATCTGTAGCCATATAAGTACAATGATTTCTTTATAATAATAATTGTAAGTTATGTTATTCAAAATTTTAAAGGAAAATATTTTATATAATATAGAACTTAATTTCAAAGGGTAATTATGTAACTTCAAAGGGAAAATTCATTTTTTTTTTTTTGGCCGTTTTTGGCCGGGGCCAGGTTTGAACCTGCCAACTCTGGCATATGGGGCCAGCGCCCTACTCCTTTGAGCCACAGGTGCTGCCCCAAAGAGAAAATTATTTCTAAAGAAAATCTATCTAGACCTAATTGGCCTCCATGTCAAAGTATTTGCATATACATTACCAGCGGTGTGTGAATATGTTACCTTGAAAAATTGCAGAACAGCAAGATATAAGGGTAGAAATGTCTGAATGAGTTTTAGAATATTGATTCAATGTTAATTACATTAATTATTTTACGGTCACCAAAACAATAACAATAAACATGTAAAAACACTTGGAAATATTCAAGATATAATTTTGAATAAAAAACTGCAAACCAAAATAATAAATCTCTAAATGCGTTTCTGTGTGAGTAGAGAAGTGAAAGAAAAAGGAAGAATTAAAACATCAGTTACAATAAGACGGAAGGCTAATGAGAGATTTAAAACATTTCATTTGAAAGTATCAAGTTATTTACAGACCTAGAAAAATTGTTCATAACGTGATCTTCAGTGAATGGAAAGACGCCCTACACTA